AGCCTTTACTTTTCAATTTTTTTGTTGCCGTTTATTCCATTACTGGCCATTACTTCCAAGCTTTTTATATATGTCATCCTTTTCTTCATATTCTTTAAACTTTTCAAAGTCTTTTGTCACAACCATATTGAATAATCACATTCAACAAATTGCTAATTGGTCAATAACAAATGGATTGCATTAAAAATCTCTCAAAATTTTCGCTTCTAATTACGAGCTGTCCTATTCTATAGAAGATAAAAGAACATAAGAAAGGTGGGAAAGTATGCGTTCCCACACTTTTCTGCTTTTAATATCTATATTCAAAATAAATATGTTCTTTTATCTCTTAAATCCTCAGTAACAATTCTTGACTTATATATTGATACGCATCCTGGTCGTTTGAATACCATTGCGGCGATTACATCGCTACAATCTCACACATATAAAAAGCAGTAATTCGATGTAATAAGAAGATTCGAGAAAGCTATAAATAACCATAACGTGAGACAAAAGATTCGACTCAGCTATTCGGAATACATACGACGCATACATATTGTGCATACGATAGAATCAGTACGGAATAGCCAGTCTTCTAAACGAGCAACTTATTTTTTTCGTTCTTTCTTATTTTCGGATCTCGGCACGAATATCTTTTCTATTTTGTTATATTTTTTCTACATTTTCTGTATAGATAGTAACCTCGACCTATTTTTGTTTTCTCAATGTAACAATAATATTTAGATAGATATTAGGCTCTAACAATCACATTTCGAAAGGAGAAATGTTTACATAAGAACGAAGATAAAGCAGAGAAACGAATCTTGAAAATGCGAGGTTGCAACACATAGACACGATTTAAGTTAGACGAACTGTGTATTGCGTTATCAAACTTTAATGTTGTCAAACTTTATTTTGCTGACGATGGGACTTTAATTATTTGATTATTACCACATATCCCATGTTACAACTATATGTAGGCTTGTATTTTCCTCTCAAAATGTACTCGTTACATCTTAAGATATAAACGGATATTATGATTGTACGGAAAAGATGGCTATAGATTGTCACTTGACCTATTGCGGGTGATACAAATGATATTTTCAATGTTATTTTTGTTATGTCCACTTCCATTATTGAATATTGACCGCTCCATTCAATAAAGTTACTATTATTATGATTAGTATATTTTCTTTATACAGAGAATGACATATATGATAAAATTATTTTGACTTATGTTGCAAGAAAAGGAGTCACATTTTTGACATCATAATTTCATGGTTACTGTGAAGAAAACAGGAGCCTTAATACGAATTTAGAGCATCGCATGATGACTAATTAGTATTGCCATTGTAGAATTTTTTCTAACACGGCATTAATAACGGGACTTACGTGAGTGTCAGGACTTTAAGTATAAAAACGTGATGAAATGTCTGTTCGGAGAAGCTATAATGGAATTTACTACACGCGAGATAAAAACGGAAATATATCTTATGTATTTTATTTATTTGTTTATTTACTGATTTATAACACATTCAATAATAATATTCAATTTAATAATATAGACAACAAAAGCAATGCAATTAGTATAAATATGATATATATATATAATACTGACTGATATAGGAAATAAATTTATAAAAAGCAATCCCCATTCATAATTTGTACCTCCGCTTTGAAAAGCAAAGGTGCAAATTATGAATGGGGAAATGACAAACCGATGTGTAAGTTTAGTTCTGGATGGAACTCTCATATTTTTCATCGGCTATAATATTTCGAAAAAATAACGAACAATATACCTACTTTCTCAAGATCAAAGAAAGATCTATTTTGTATTTTCTATTTTTAAGTTCAAGCCGTTATTCACTGCCAATACTAAATAAGAAATTTTAATCCCTATATTTCTAAAATTTATTTGTATTTATGCATAAAATATGAAGTACAGAAACATAGAAGGTATATACAAGAGTGTATTTACAATGACGATATACAAAACTTACAAATTAACATGAGTATATATTATAGTTCACTTTTATACATGTTTACATGTAATACGCACTAACGAGTTTCGTCATTAATAACTTACGCCATTTACGTTTGAGTACGCACTCACAACTTATGCTATAAATACAAAAATTATTTGGTAATCGTTGGTACCATCAAGAGAGTACTGATTCTCTGTCAAGAATTAAATCGATTTACCCATGAAATCTTTTTACCGCTCCTTTCCTTTGTGTTATTTCTGTATTTGTAAAGTTTCACATCTATAAACTCATAGTTACGATTGAATCCATATAGTAAAATAGCTTATCGTCGAATTAGTGATTGTTCGAAAAGTGATATTCTTCTCTTGCGCTGCTCTCTTAGTACTCACGTTTGCCATGTGATAACCACGTTAGAAAGGGAGCGAGAGAAAAAGCGTGCTACAATAGTTTTTGTGCTATTAAAATAAAATTGATAGAAAGCTTCAAGAATACCATTTAATAATTTATTTTTTTAATGATTTCATAATGTGAATATTCAATTGTACTTGCGATAAAAAAACTATGAAGTAGCGCTTATCATCGATTTAATGTAAAACTGTTCTTAAACATATCTTCAAAAAAAATTGTTATATTAAAAAATTTTATTATCTGAATTATCTCGCATGTCTTAGTTATTTTAAAATTTATCTGATTCGATCATTCTAGATACTAAAATCCTTATGACTAATTCTTTATATTATTAAAATAAAATCACGCATACAAGATGGTTAATAAAAACGTAATAACGCTTAAAGGAAAATTTCTAAGATTATTTTAAAAGAATTCTAATGTTGAGGCTATAATAGTATTTGAGTTATAAGTATTTAATATTAACGAATCAGGTTCGCACGCTCAAATATGAAACAGAAATAAAACCTATTTTTTTTTAATCTTTTTGCTTTTTAACGAATACCGACTGCCAAAACTTCTTTAAAAATATACAGAATAATTTACAGAAAAGTTTCATTGCTAAAGTATTATTGATGAGTATCACTAAAAAAAATAATGATTAAAAAAAATAATGATGAATAAAAAATTTTCAAAGGCATATTCTAAAAGAGAAATTTGAGAACTTCCAGAAGAATCGCTATTCGATTTACATATTCCTTCTTATAAGATTCTTGATCATTTTCTTATTATGAGCGGCACGTCCATCTCGTACAGACGTATACTTACTTCTAATTATATATAATTATATGAAATTATATATGAACTATAATAAATCATGTATAAATATATATGAAAATATATGAATCATTATGTATATTTATATATAAATACACATAATATATATAAGGAATTTATACATAATTATAAAAGTCCGATGATGATTATATAAAATTGTATATAACTATATATAATGAATTGTACTTAATTATATATATATTTATGTAATTTTATATAATTTTATATAAAATTATATAAAATTACATTTCATATTAGTTCTATATAATTATGTATGAAAATTTTTATATCGGAAATTGACAAGCAATTTAATAATATTGATGCTAGTGAGTATTATTAAAACACTATAAAAAATTTATGATGAAAAATATCATTCCCATCAACCATGATTCAAATCTGAAATTTCTTCGTTCCATGACGGGAATTTCATCAATTCGATTTATGTGATAATACCTATCACAAAAAAAAAAATAAAAATAATATATTTTCTGAAAACATTGTTTTCAGCTGACGTGTAAATAAACAATAATAAATGAAATTCAAAAAATGTTCAACCGTGGTGTCCAGCAAAATCTGGCTAGTCAAATCAGGGATAATTCCAGGACATTTTATGTAAAAATCCTGGTTTTCCAAGGGTTTATTCATCGATTCATTTTCATTATTTCATTAATTTTCAACGATTCGTGCAATATTATACGCTTTGTATTCAAGTTAGGATTCTATACAAATGAAAATTAAAACGCAAACAAATTGAAAACAATACTATTAATTACCTTATAAATAATCAAATGAACGTTCCACCAACACAAACGATTTTTTTACTATGTTCTATTTGAGATAAACTCAAGTTTCAATTTCTTCAAACTTCAAGTTTTCTATTGATAACTTATTGCTTTAAAGAAGGATTTATGTCCAAACACAACTTTTCTTTTTATTATTTCTTTTTTTTCACGCTCTAACGTTTTTAGAATGAAAGAACAATAAATTCCAGGCCAGCCCTGAAATTTGAAAGGGATTTTCCAAGAATTTTTCAGAACACATAAACTTCAGTATAATTCTAAGACTATTTAAGGATCGTTGGACACCATATGATCGTTCGACACAATGAGCAAAAAAGGTCATATTTTTTTGTTTAATAATATTTAATAATATTTAATTTATAATATATAAATTTTACAATTTTCAATTCAAGATTACTGTGCACGAATTATTTATCAGTCTTGAAATACATTATTTTTGTGGGTACACGTATCACATAATAATATCTTGAAATAGACAGTCGACGTTCGTCTTTAGCGCTGTCTTGTGTCACATTAGAACGCACAAATTTTAAATAACTTGGTTCGCTAATTTTAAATACAACACAAATACTTGCAATTTAAATATCTATAACATAAAAATTATTACAGCCTCGAAAATCATGGTATTAGAACTTTTGTCTCAATAATCTACTCTTAAGTGTTATTACGATTTTAGGGTCGTATTCATAGTCGTGATTCAACCGGAGGTCTGATTTGAGCTAGGTTTGAATCAGTCTTTCATTTGAAAAACGCTTCTCAAACCACGATTTAAATCTAATTGGTTTGAACTAAAGTTCAAACTTTAGTTCAAACCTAGCTTGCCTGAAATGAGGATCAATCGTGGATCGATCTATGACTATGAATACGGATCTTAATGGGACATCTTATATACATACAATGATTAAACAACAATCAGGCACGTTGATTTGTATAAAAATGATAAAATTATGCCCAACACATAAAAATAATATTTTTTATAATATTCGTCAATATTCATTAACTTTTTTGGAGCAATCTCATATTTTAATTTTTTTTTAGAGCAGTCTTACATACTTTTATACTTTCGAAAAGCTCAAAGATCGCACCTGAATACTAAAATTTCGAAAGTAACGAGGAAATATTGTTCATTTGATTATGAAATTATCATCTAGTTCAGCTGGCATCTGGATCAATGAGTGTTGTTTTTCAATTCTATCAATTGGCTGGAAAAGAAAAATCTAATGGCACCCGCAACTCTTAACAACCATGTTCTTATATTTCTTCAAGATGACATTGCTCTCGTCCAAGAAATACAAGACGGAAATGGCTGAAAGTTTGGTGGGTGCGCAGCATGGCTTGGGTACCTTGCCCGGACTCACCAAATGCACTAGAGTTTGAACTATTGCGTGGTTAGTTGCGTTCATATGAGCATTCAATGGGAAGTTGCATTCCCCGCTACAATAATATGCATCGTACCCATCCGGCGCAATAATCCAATCCTATGCAACAAAACAAATTGTAAGAAATAACGCACATATAAATCTATGACGTCTGGTTCCTCACCGCACACGTCGGATTCGTAGAAAACATACGATTCCTTGCCTGGTGACACCGTAATCCGACACAGCCACCATCACGTCGCGCCGTGAGGAACCAGAGTTTTCAAAGACACGCTAATTAATAGCTCACCTGCCACTGCAAATCGCGGAAGCTGACATATAATGTTTGTATTTTGCAGGTTCGTGAATACTGTGCTCCAGGATCTGCGAAAACATATCTTTTATCACTGCACACATACATATGTATACCTATATCTTTTTTATTTATAAAATTTAATATAGAGAAAAGATAAATAAAAAAAGAGAGAATACCGGGATCCCAAAATATCTCGAAAAATATAAATTTTAAAATGAATTATTTAAGTATTAAGGTATTAAATCTAACTTTAACTGTTATGGCTATTACTTCTATTTCTATTGATTATCTTCTATTGATAAATTTTAAAGAAGACTTTCAGGTAAAAGTAAAGTTTAAAAAGATCTATTTATTGATCCTGTCAGTTTGCTGCTTAAGTGGCGTTGTCAGGAAAAGATTACTTTAAATTTTTTTAGTGAAATCTTCTATTTCTCATTGCATATTCTTTTTTATAGCCCTTCTTCAAGGATCTTTTCAAAGCACTTTAATAAGGACATATTTTAAATATCTAACATAAACGAGACTTTTCTAGACATATTTCAGACATCCAAGGACGTCAAATTGTTTCTTGGAATCATCTTTTGACTTTACCTTTGTAAACTGGATTATCTTCCGATCTTGTTTTTGTAATTTTATCATAAAAGAAATTCGATAACTTCAAAACTGTGTATATAAATTGTTTATTTTAATTGTTTGTTTATTTAAAATAAAAAAAAATTATAGCGCTATGAAAAGGTTTGAAGAAGGGCTATAAAAATGTGTAATAAAAAAATAGGATATATCATTAAAAAAATTCAAGGTAACTTTGTCCTAACTTTGGTGATGACATATCGAACTAATAAAATCATTAAATCGATTGTTTTAAAACTCTACAATTTTTATCTGAAACAGTTTTCTATAAAACTTGTATTCTTTCGAGATATTTCGGAGTCCCGGTATTTTTTTTCTCACCCTGAATATACATATATACTATATACATATACATACATATATTGTATACATATTTTTTGTTTTTCTATATGTAAATTATATATTAGTATAAATACGTGTAAATTGTACTATTACATCATTGTTACTATTATTATTATATTTATTATATTATAAATTAAATTAGGATTGCAATATTCCATATTCGAATTTACCAGTGTAAGGATTATTCCGGTAATCCCAACTGGTGGCCTCACTCTTCTTCTTCCTCTTGGCATCACGCTTCTGTCGGACCTTGGATTCCCTTACGCCTGAACTCTTAAAATAGCCCACTATGAAGGGTTGCTTGTCTGGATCACCCCGGAATCCCATAATTCCAATATCCTCTGGTCTCACTTCGTGATGTATAATATATCAATTGAAGAAATAAATGAATGAAATCTAAATTGGCTCTCAGCTAATGGCAATAGCTAGTAACTTATTTTTCTTTAGGAATATATATTTCTTAAAAGTACATAGGGTAGAGATATGATTAAATGATATAGAAGAATAAAATAATGATATACGAAACAAACATATATGAAATAGAAGAAGAGAAACAATAGAGAATAGAAAGAGAAGAATATGTTGAAAGTTGCTACAAATATCGATGCACTCTTGACGCACTAAAGATTATCTGCGAAAATCGTATTTTGCGAAAACAGGAGACTCTTGCTCACACATTTCGAATCTTTATTCCGTAAGTGTCAGGTGTACGTGTTTATTAGAATGGCCTGCGCGCACGCGGGTCTCAGGATTATTAATAGTCAACCTTCATGAATATTGAACGTTCAAGAATCTCGGTGTAAAGTCGAGCCAAGCTTTGTAGACATTCACTTCCAACGCGTTTTAGACGTTTCGTTTTAATTACTCTGGAAAATTCCAGGGTAGCGATCATATAACTTCTTCCCTAGGGCGGAAATGTGAAAAGTGAAAATTCCTTGAATGTGTGTATACGTACATACATACATACATCAAAATTTTCACTCTTCACGTTTCCGCTCCACTGAAAAAGTTACACGATCGCTACCCAAGTGTGCGTGGAGTTTCGGATGTGTTCACGAAATTCGGTTCAAGAAAAGAGGATCAAACGATGTTTGCGCATCTATTCAATTTTACAATCGAAATCTGGAGACCCTTTTTCATGATTAATTAATTTCACCGATAACCCGGATCGTGCATGTTAGAAAGTTATCGCACCCGGTTCCATATCCCGTACGCAAGGTTATTACCTCTCGACAATAAAGTCGAAAAAGTCTTGGAAGAGGAGATAAGTCCCGTGATAAATCTCACCGATCGCGCCATCGCGGTCAGATCGGGAATGCGAGTGAGTCAATGACTAGGAGAGACCTCGTCGCGGCGAGCGATCGTATGTAAATGATCCCGAGCAGCGAGCACTCGCGCCCGGCAGGGTACCGTGTATTTCGAGTATGCGCGAGTCCGAGAAAGCTAGTAAATTGACCGGCAGGAATGCGCATTTGCCGTGATTGCGGCGGACACTGGCAGACACCTACCGTCGCAGTTGTTGCACTTTGCGCCGCTCTCGAGGAATGCGCCGGCTCGCGGCGAGAATGGTGCTCGCCACTCTTCGAGGCGACGTATTCAAGTTCTGTGTCAAGTCATTTTATCATCCTTCCCGTTCGTTCGAGCATCGGCAACACGCTTCCTTCAAGCGGTTATTACCGGTGCGATCATCTATTACTAATGTATTAACTCTCTATAACGTTATTTTGCAATCGCATATTAGTACGTTTCTACTTTTTGTCACTTTATCTTATTTCTTCACCATAATTCAGCACAGTATGGAAATAATAATAAGAGCCTTATTTTAGACGACCGATACGAACTTCAAATCAAGTTAGCGAGAAATTAATATGCTTATACACAGTCGAGAAGTTGGATCTCTTCATTGCTTTAAATAATTAAATCTTGAATTACTAATATACATTATATATGTACTTAAATACATACTATATTGTAGTCTTTTTTGAACTGCGCGCCGAAGTTTGTTTTTCCGAACTACAAACGCAATTAAAACTGCTCGAATAATTGCGAATTAAATTGACGAGCAATTTAATAATTTGATGCTACCATCAAGCATCATATTATAAAGTTAATATGTTGAAACTGTTAATAAATTTATTGCGAAAAATATTACCTCGGCCAGGACTTGAACGGCCGGATCTCTTGCATTCCGTACGAACGTCCTAAGCCATTAGACCACCGAGGCAAAAATTAATTGTTAATTTAGATCTCAGAGTCAATATGTTCTATAATAACATATTATGTTATTTTTTCAAATACAAAAAAAATAGATTATAAAAGATCAAATCTATACCTATCTTTGTACAAACGCAGTCGCGTAATGAAACATATTGCGGTTTTCAAAAGCGGGGTACGCGATTGGCGCCTATCTGTTCGCAGCTGCAAATCAAAAGTGATTACATTCGCTGAACGTCGGTCGTCAGAATCATTCGCAGATGAATTTCTCTTGCTCTTCATCTGAATTTAGCAGTCTCGAGCATAATAAGAGAAAAATAAGAAGAAAATTGAAAGAAAAATTGGAACTCGATTTCATTAATTGTCGCAATCGTGGACATTGAGAGGGTTACATTGGATTAATAAAATTTTTCATTTAGCTCTGCACGTTCTTTGTATACAAACTGAATCGAATTAAAAACGAAACTCAAGTTTTATTTACAATAATATTTAAAAATTAGTTGGAAGAACACCAAACCTTTCAATTATTATCAATGGATTGTCACAAATTTGATCTATAATAAATCTTCGATTTCATAATTTTGTCGATATTGTTGATGTCTCATCATCTATTAAAGTGCATCTCTCTCTATACTTATATTTTGATATAAAATAGGTATTTCATATCATTTGTGTACTTCAATAAATTCCTGTCGACTTGATCATTTCGTAAGCTCGAGGATATGAATCTAATAGCTGAAGAATGTGTGATAATCTTTAGTTTATATTTAGGATCAGCTTATATTTATATAAATACAGATAATATATCTTTGAAGAATCTCATAGGTTTTTTGAATACGGCGAGAGAAAATTAAAAAAACAGAAACAGAAAGAGAGAGAGAGAGAGAGAGAGAGAGGGGCAGTTAGGAATCAAACGTAAAGATTCGTGAGAGGCATGTGACTCTTCGATCTTGTGTTTTATATTGAACGATCAAAGGTAAACCGGTTGCGCGTTCTGAAGAGACAAGAGGAAAGAGAATAAAAGCCAAGTAAGAAAGAGAGAGCAAATAATGAAATAATCTAGGCGCGGCAAACAACAAATCATATACACATACGCCATACACTACATACACACGTACAGATGTACATATATTAAATACAAGCATGCTGTTTGTACACTTGATTTGATGTTTATATATACATATTAATGTCCAGTGTTATCCGTCACTACTTATTACAATTTTTATACAGAATATAACAATATGACAGATTATGTTATATATATATATATATCTTAATGACCGTCCCAAATTAGGAGGAACAGTCTCAAATTTTAACTCTTTGTCCCACTTTGCAATGCGTCCCAAATTTTGTCTGGCTTTGTCTATAAACGTGTATCTATAAGGATATCAAATTCAAGTCTTATAATTCAAAGAGTGCTTAATGAAAAAATAATAAAGCTCTTGAAATGAAGTACAAGAATATGCAATAAAAATATGAGAGTTTCTATTTTAAAAATTCAAAATAATCTTGCCTTAACTTAGAAACTGCCACGTCAAGTCAAACTAATAAGATCAGTTAATAGATTTTTTTAAACTACAATTTTTGTATGAAACATTTTTTTCAAAAGTGCTTAATTTAAAAATACTTCATAATAATAAATGATATGCAGCTTTATTACGAAATGTTAAACGTTTCCACTCTCTTTGGAGTCATCCTCAGCAAGTTATACATATTCAACGAACAATGTTGGTTAGACGATCTGTCCATAATGAGTCACTATCAGGTTCCCAAAACTAGCGGAATATCGAACAGACGTCAACTTCAGGTAATGAAGCTTTGGCAAATATAAATTCGCTAACTAACAAATTAATCGTGCTACGAGCATCTAATTAATTAACAGTAGACAATTCAAAGTCTCGAATGGTTCATATAAATTGAGATCATGTTTTTTGGGAGCATCCATTGAAATTTTGGATGAGCATCATAAAGCACATATCAAAAATTTAGCTAATTTGACACAGAAACCGGTTCTTTCATTATAAGTGTGCGAGGTTCTTCAGTGATAAAATCAATTTTTCGTTCCTTTTTTGTTACTCTTTTTCGCTCTTTCTCTTTTTTTCTTTTTCCTCTCTTCTCTTTCCTTTTTCTTTCTCTTTTTTGTCCTATCCAAGACTGCTGTTCTATTGAAAATAACGTGAGCACCTCTCAGGTTCGTAAGTTTATCTTATCAGCATGGGAAGAGACAAGGCGACGCCTCCATCATAGATTAAGTATCCCGAATGATAATAAAGTATGCGAGTAAATCACGAGCAAGATAAAAAAAACGAAAAAATGTTTAACTTCTTAAAAGATAGAATACTAATTGCACTTTCTTCTAGCATAATTGTATTAAATTGTAAAAAAGGAATAAAGAAGGACAGCAAAAGTTGGATGATTAAGCCCGACAAAGCTACATGAGAGTAAAATTTCCAAGAAAACTTTACGCCGTCTGTTATTTTAAAATTATATTTCGACATTTCATTTATATGTAAATTTGTAACATTGACTTCAATATATAATTAAAGTCTTTGATTAATTATTTGAATTGATAAAAAACTTCATTTCATGATTTCACATCAAGAAAAGAGATCCTTAATATCTTGATATCTCTGATCTTCGATTCCATGAAAAATACAATTTTCCGTCAATTCAAATTATAATAAGACGCAAGAGTAGTTGAGTAAGTGTTGTCTCTCTGCTTGAATCATAAACGTAGAAAAACTAGGAAGAGAATCGAGATTCAAGAGTTGCTACTAATCTTTCGTGTCACGCACACGCAGCATTTACAACGGTATATTGTGGTGAGAACACTGAACAGGTGTAATATACATTAAGGAAACAAATATACATGACCATCAGGTATATGAGAACCAAGAACACACTCTCCATTTAATCCAAATAAAATACTTATCTCTATATATTAAAAATATTATATAAGATTCTTGAAAGTCAAACTGAATTGAAAGCTAAATCGATTTAAATGAAAAATAGAAAATTAACAAAATTATAAACAAATCATATGTTCTGATATATTAAAATTAAGAAATTTATAAAAGTAAAATTGATCAATTTGGCTTCTGGTAAACTTATACAATTGATGGCGATTGTTTTTTTTTTCAATTACCTATTGCTTCTTTGTCGCCTGAGAAGATATAAAAGACGCATTTCCGAATAATCAAAAGTTAAAGTTTGAATTCGCTCTTATACTTTGCTTGCGATCCGATTTCAATAAACATCGAACATGTTTATTATCAAACCGGAAGTCGTTCTATATTTAGCTGCTATTTCTAAGAAGTTGGCTAAGAAGTTTAGATAGAAACACGTTTGTAATAGTAGACTTGTGATTTAATCCATAAGTGTTCCGAGTTCTTGCTTTGAAATTAGAAAAAGATGAAGAGTTAGTTGAACCGAGATTAAAGTTAATCTACAAGTTGATGAAAAAGGGCATAAATGGAAAACACTCTCAGTGACGTGTCAATATTACGTAAATCATGTGTGTGTGAATGTAAGTGGTATTGACTCGATAAAACAGACGACTTTATTTCAGATGAGGATTTTCTTAACAGTCCTCTTAACTTGACTATTCAGTTACTTCAAATATCGTATGAAAAATCTTTGTAAAGACAAAAATAATGGAAGAAAACTAGAAGAAATAAAACGCTTACCCGAACGATCAGCAGGATGCACAGAGAGATACAGTCCTCGATTTTCATTTGAGTCCTTCACCCAATGTTCAAAAGCCTCGCTGATGTTCAATGTCAGCCAGCCCTGTTTGTTGTCCGTAATATTTATGGCATCGATGTACTGTAATTCTCGAATTCTGAAATTGAAACGGAAGAGCTGTGTTTCTACGATTTTAGTTTTTGCACGACAAATAGTCTAGGAATGAATATACAAACTTATTAGCGTCACCTTTTTAATTAGTGTCAAATTTTTTAATCGATAGTCTGCCTAAATTCATGCAAAATGCCGTGAAATAAAAACTTAAAAAATCGTGATTTTTTAAATCATTTCTAAGTGCAAAAGAGTTACATGAGAGAATAAAAATAACCAATTCTATAAGATCCTCAAATATTATTCATACGCTCATGAAAATTCTTAAAATTAAAAATACGTTTTCATGAAATCCTAGAATAGTATTTAAAGTTTAAAGTTTCCCCGTATGTTAAAGTTTCGATCTTACAATTTGTTTGAGAGGAGCAGATTTTAATCTCAATTGCATTACATAAAATTGTCACATACGCTGATTATCATGCAATAATAAATATTCTTGTTTATTAAAAATAGGTATTCCGTGCACGTAAACACGATGGAAATAATATACGCTCAGTAACTCTGATCGTCACGCACGACGTGTCGCCCGTCACAAATGCTTTGTCGTGATTCTTCGTATTGTAATTTCTAATTAATCGTGAAACAGCGCGTGCCGCGCATCAATAAGAGCCTCAGGCTCTTAGCAAGAAAATACGTCGATCATTGTTCAGTAAGCAAATGATCTTCGCAACATTTATCTCTTACCATTTTTCCGCAAATCCATTATCGTAATTGAACAGACTATGAGATTCTCGTGTTCTTCGGAATCGAGTCTCAATGATCCTTTACTCGATAGAATCAATAAATTATATATAATATTGACTGATAAAATCGAGTAAAAGTAATTTACTAATTTAACGAATCCAGATTTTCATTACAAATATCTAAATAATTTATTTCCTTGAGCAAGATATATGTATAAAGTTTTCATTAATAAAACGCTAGATGACTAACTAATAAAAATATTATTTATTTGGATTAACATCTCAATAAAATTCTATCGTTATTGACGTTATTGATTTTTGTTTAGAATTTCGATATATATAAATAATTGTTAAACTAAATATCTGTAAAAACAAAAATTGTATAACATAGTGAAAGAATTCAAAAATCATAAATCATAACATGGTTCTAGAAACTTTTAAAATTTTCCGATCTTTGCTTTAATTTTTTACTTATAAAACGATTTGTCATTTTTTAATCCTATCATTTCAATTTTAAATGTGATTCTTCTTCAAAAACACGTATCATCAGCGTTCCGTATTAATATTCCTAACAATGTACCGCGATGAAGAGGTTTTATTACGAAAGCAACGAGTCGCCAGCTTGTCTCGCAAGGAAGAAGAGGCAGGGGAAGAAAAAGAAGGAGGTGGAGGATGCGTCACGCATAGTTTGACTTTGATGGAAGGAACCGAAAGAGCTAGCGTGAAGGGTGAGAAGAAGAGAGACGCGAAGATCGAGCGCAACTGCGTAGGCAGAAGAGACGAAGAAACACGCGAAGAGAGCCTGTTAGCCCGTCTCCACGGCTAATTTACCTCAATTTACGGAATAGCGTTTCCTGTCGGGGCCTGTATATCGGTCAGGCTCAGGTCGCCAGTGCCAAAAGTTTCGGGGAAGGGGGAATGAACGTAAGAGCGTGTAGCCGGCTGTCACTCCTCAATTCTCCGGTAGTAAATCAAAAGACTAAGGAGCCTGTACTAAGTATCCAAACTTGCGAAACGAAAGATCTGAACTTTGGATAACTGGACCTTCGTATCTGATGTGTTAGAAGTTTAGTGCGGGTCTAAAGAGTCTCGATGAGACCGATTACGCTAAGCTCCTTCAGAAGCGAGCACCTTTCGTTTATTTCTTCGAACAAAATTTCAGAGAAGGATTTCGTAAGCTTCAGCTACTAAATTTCTTGTAAAATCATCTTTGTCCAAACTCTTTCCGAAAAAAAATCGCTGATTGCAATTTAAGAAATTTTCGATCGTAAGCTCGTTATTTCGTAGGTAATAACATCGAACTTGGAAGACAATTAGGGATTCGCGATTCTGGTATCGGGAATTCTAGATAATAAATAGATTCGTGAAAACGGGAAATTCTTTTCAAAATTGACTAGAATGGGCGCTTAAAAGTGTACTTAAAAGCACAGTTACGATGGCGATTAGCGGCGACGGGGCGTCTCGTGACTCACAATTTGTAGGACGGAGCGGCATGTCCATTAGATAGAGCTCTCTAGACAGACCGTCGACATTTACCGCAGGCATCGAGGCCTCTCAGATTAACTCACCACGCTTTCCTTTTTACGATTCAGTTCCCACCCGGACGGGATGGTCCCCGCCGGTGGTCCTATGGCTAATGATTACATGTGTATCGTAATATATTTCTGATTATCCACTCTGCACATCGTCCATGCACAATTGTTTTCTAAGCTGCCAAAGCAGGATAAATGTATTTTTCTAAAAAAAAAAAAGAGCTAAAATGTCTCTTGTCTTCTAAATACATCTATACGTATTTATAATAGAAGACAAGAGACATTTTAGCTCTTTTCAATAATATAGATACGAAATAAAGAAAACGGAGAAGTCAAAGGTATACGAAAAAGAATGTTCGGCGAAATATTCAAAGTTTTTCTCTCTGCGTTCAGGTAGAACAAATGCCTGAAACTTTTTCGGCGAAGGATTAAGGACCTCCTAATTAGGGATACGATGACGATGTCAAAAACTGCGAAGGATGCCTGGAGGAACATGAAATTGGTCTAACCTAGGCGTCCTTGGCACAAAAGCCGGTGAATAGCGAGTATTATTTTTCGTTTCAACTTTATTATTGCAACACGAAGATGTGCTTTAACATTCATTAAGCTTCCCGAAATTCCAGTCTAATCTCTAGATTTTTATCTGATCATTTTTTAATCCACCTAAATCCATCTACTTTACATGATACGAGTCTAGAAATATAGAAATGTAGAATTTAATGCGTTTAGAAACATAGACAAAAAAAAATGGATAATTCTTCTTACCCTTCTTTAGTGTTCAATACTCGGTACGCCGTGATTGTGTGAGAACCATGACTCTTCTGAATCTTCGTGTGTGCACTATGATACAACCTAAGCTCAGCGCCAATTATGTATTCTTCAGGTGGTACTTCGGACACATCGAACCAGAGCCTCTTCCCACGTTCGTGTCTCACCCCAGGGACGTGATGATCTATTTTAAATTACAAGTCTGCGATCAGTCAAGCATTATTCAGAATGGCCACTTATAATCACGCAACAACAATCATACACAACACGGTAATAAATTACAATACACGGTCCATAAATTTTGATATGAAAATCATATAAAATAAAGAACTTATCGGTAAAATATTTTTTTTTTGTATTTAAAGTGGAATTCTTTTTAATAAATGCATTATTCTGCTCTCGTTTCAATTTTTCCATTTGATATATTAAATATCCCTCTTTTGTAATTGTGTCTTCAGTTGGTCGGTCACAGGGTGGCTTGAATTTTTGAAATGTCGAATAATTTAAAAAACTGTTATAACCTTACATCATTCATTATCTTATTTATCTAACGCTCTCTAATATTTCTTGCTTTCGAAATTAAAAGAATTGCAATTGAAAGAATTTGATATTTTAGAAATTATATAATATCAATATAAGAACTGTGATCAATCATATGAAAAAGAATACTTAATGGCATTGCAAAAATTGAAAACAAGAGCAAAGTAATGTATATTGACTGTAAAAGATTTTATTTTAAATAAAAAATATTGAAAATATTTTTCGTCTTCTGTTTTTTATATAATTTTTACTTAAAAATTTATGGATCACGTTGTGTGTACTTTACGTACATTCACATTCAGTTTTAAGAATATTATTTGTCAAACGAAGATATTAAAACTAGGAGATAAATTTTGAAAGTCATTGAACTATGCACCGAAATATATGATAATACCATGTTCTTAGAAAAAAATAATGCCCTGAAAATAATTCGATTGTAATAGTGTAAAATTTCAAGAAGAATATAGTTTCCATGTATGTATAAAAGTTTTTTTCAAGTTTCTTGATATATATCTTGAGAAATTGTTTCTTCATCTTTATTGGAGGAACATTTCTACCGAATAGTCTACTCTAGAAACAAGCGTGTAAAGGGTCAGTTTAGGTTATCGATGCAAACTTTGAAAATGATGACTCAGAGCTCAGTCAAACCACAGGAACGTCTACGATGGAATGCCAATTAGTCCTTTTTTTTTTCAATAGGGAGATAACATTTCGTTATCGCAAAACGAAATTTCTACAAGAATCCGAGGTATCTTTGGTGAGCCTACTTGTGAGTCCCCCAAGGAAGTCTTTAGAAATGATCCGTGGACAATTCGCAGCGTGAAATCGAGCTCTTTCTTACCGTCAAAGTGGTCGCCGCCCTGCGAGCAAAGAAAGAGCGGTAGACTCGGGGGGGGGGGGGGGAGACATACCCTTCCTTCGCGGTAGACTCGGGGGGGCTCTAAGTAATGCCTAATGCCTCCGCTGAAGTGGGCGGCTTGGATCCGAACAGGGACGTGAGGCGAGGGGAAGGGCGGAGGGGGACATAAAAATTTGTTTTGTTTTTTCGTTCCGACGGTCGCATTCCAACGGTACCAGATTGCCGGGCCTCCTCAGCTCTCGGGGTGGTCCCAAATAGCTTTTGGGACCGTCCATGGAGCGTTCTGTGGCGAGCCGCGTTTTTGTTTTTTACGCCGCTGTTGCCGCCACCGCCGCGCTCTTCCTTCCCATCGCCTCCCCCTTCGCGTCTTTCTTAAAGGTATACGTATGCGCTTGTCGGTACACGTACTGTACGGTGAAAAGAAAAGAATAAGTTTACCGCGTGTTTTCTTAATTCTCTTGAGACACATCGAGTGATATTGTGATTATATTTTTTGAATAGAGTCTTTGATAAAAAATACGTAGATCTCCGCGACACAAACTTCTTGAATATATTTTAGAATTTATTTTAAACAAAAAAGTTCATGTACATTATATGTCAATTAGGTTCACAGTTATCGAGATTTGTATAGACTTTTATTAACATTGTAACATGATGATTAGAAACAAAATGATTAGATATTTATAATGTTTTTTATGTCTTATTCTTTTAATTACATTAATTGTCAAAATGTCTGCTTACAAACATGTCTCTCTCTCTCTCTCTCTCTCTCTCTCTCTCTCTCTCTTTCTCTCTAAGAGCGGTTTTATCGAGGGGGTGACCACTGAAATATTGTCCCGTAGTTTACATTTCATCTGATTTCATCTGATCGCAAATAATTTTTTTCACTACGTATGAAGTCATTTGGTAAAATATGCGATTTTATTTAATATTATACAATTGGATTATACATAGATTTCATATGAATTTTATAGTGATCGAGGACTCCCACGATTACATTAAGTGGTTAATCCCCCTCGAGTTTTACGCTATCATATGTCCAGCAATCAGATTAGACATGATATCTAGAGACTCAATGTCTTATCTCTATAGTCAAGAGTTAAAACGAAGAGAGAGGAATTGAGAAGGAGAGATACACATATATATACGAATGAATGGAAAGTTCAGACGGGCATCGACATCATGCTAAAGAAATCCCTCCCCCGGTCGCACAGATCTGTTACATTCAGTTCCGCTGCGGATCCATCCATCTCCGCAGGATTCAGCATCCTAATCTTCGTAATTCGTAGCCGCGCGTCTCCCTCCGGGTAACCGGCCGTCACGCTGTCCGCGTGAGGAAGAAACGGAGTGGAAAAAAGAGCAGAAGGCCGAAGGAGGACGAACCCGGGCCTCCAAGTTGAGACATTTTAACCTGCCCGTGGCTTCGCGCGCGAGGAAAGAGTGATGCTTATTGACTCGTCTTTCCCAGGGGGGTATCCCATGCAACATGGCCGGTAGAAAGGAGATAGAAAAAGAGAGGAGAGACTTTGTGCATAAGACGTATAGCCCATGAGACCGAGTCCGCATTCGTGTGCGCAACTCATGGCGATTGATGGACTCTGAATCAATTCTTTCTGTCCTTGTTTCTTTGATTCCGATTCTTCGTTTCTGTTCTTCTATTCCTACATATACTCCCTTATCTCTACTTCACATTGTCATTATCTCGCACAGTGGATGATACTTGTAGTTATAACTACCGATTTATATGCATGTCGCATTTCGCGTCGAACAGCCTAGAACATTCCTCACTGTTCCCTCGACGCGAGGACGACAGTAAAATAGAAAACCGGACATACGAACACGCAGAGAGAA